AGGAAACACAGCCGTTTGGCATATTCACTGCGCATTCTCCCCCCTTCATGGTCGCCCAACAACGTGGAATCCACCAGTTTGAGAGCCTCTTCTTGGATCCTTTTTTCTGTGCCAACTCCCTGTTACTCTGTTACCTTATTTTCCCCAAGGGAATTCTCAAACCAAGCTTCACATAAAGCGTGGTGATCTCGTCCAACCACCGGCACCCAGGGCTGCCCATGTCAGGCACCAAGACTTGCGGGGCACCGAAGGTCACGACCTGCGTGACTCGAAAGCCACGGTAGAGCAAGAAGAGGGCAGCCAGGATCGCGTAGCCTCCCCCCAAGCGAATGGCCACACAAAATCACCTCCTTCGCGTTCTGCACAGAAACGCTCCCCAGGCATTCTTCTAGCTCATCTAGCACACTCTTGCCATCTGGAGGCTTGTGCTGCAACCCCCCTGAGATGCCATTGTGAACCCGCATGTCGCAGAAGCACCTGAGAGTCAGATCAAAATCGATCACCACATCCACGAAGTTGTCGGTCCCTTTGAAGGTCACATAGAAGGCATCCTCATCTTCCAGGACTGCCCACTGCACTGGTGTTGGATTCTCATCACCCATCCGCCTTAGCACGTGCAAGTGGATGTTCAGTAACCCTCCCAAACCTGTCAGCTCCTCTTGCCTCAGCTGGTACACCCACTTCGCCAAGTAGGCCGCTTTCAGGTGACCAGGATGGACACGCCCCGCCTCACCGACCATTTCGAAGGGGAACGGCGCGCCACGGTTGATCCTCGAGGCGGAGCCGCTCTCGCCAAGCTCGGAGCTCACTGCAACGGAGGAGGACTGCGAGGTGGAGGATCGACTTCCCAGGAGCAAGGGTTTCACCAAGGCAGCCACCGAGGTCAGAAGCGCGTTGGGGATCTTCAGCACCTCAGGTGATGAAGAAGAAAGAAGAAGAAGAAGAAGAGCAAGAAGAGCAAGAAGAGAAGCTGATGTGCTGGGATATGAGTCAATGAGGCTAACTGCATGCAACTCGAGTTTAAGACCTATAGTTTGTAGGAGAACCTGGCTCCTGCACCTCCAATGCCAAAATGTCCCAACGTGTCCCTAACCCTAGATGGCTCACCTTCAGATGTGGATCGGAATGAGGGACACAAGCGTTGTACACCGCCTGCGCGGCATGGTGACAATTGCTTCTTGTCAAGTCGTACTTGCCGGTGCTCATTGCCACCTCCCATAGCTTTTTCATGGTCAAAGCCGCCCCGACGCTGTTCAATGTGTGCAGTGCTGGCCTTGGAGCTTGCTGTTCCACAGCCAACCACAAGATATCTTTTGCTTGCCGTTTCCCCACTACAAAACGACAGGCAAGAACAAGAACAATATGGATGGCTCAAGCCAAAAGGCAGAGTGATCATTGAAGTCACTTCAGACCAACAAGAGATGTAAATGCCATTCTGACACTCTTCACGTGCATCTTCACGTTGCGATGCAGCTTTCTCCAGCACATATGTCCAGGATGACTGGCTTTGACCGTTGCGAACGGTGATCGCGAGCAGGGAATGAATCCCTCCCAACCGTCCAGGTACACCATCTAACCTGATCAAACTGTACAGAAAGCCGTGCTCATGGAGAAGTATATAAGATTGGGCTTGAACACGTTGAGGACAGATCAAGACTAAGTCTCAAATCACTCTAAATGACGTTAAGCAAAAGGCTTGGTAGGGAGAGGGAACATGGAAGGATACAGTACAGCGTGTACAATGTACATTGTCATCAGCACTTCCCAAATCAATGCATTTTTGTAAACAAGCCACTCAATTTGATGCCACTGCACTTTGACCACAGCACTCTCATCCTGCATCGCCTCATAATAAGCGGCGCCCGATCCACCGCGGGTGTTGACCAAACGGAGGTGCTGGCGAAACCAACTTGCCACTGTATGATGACCATTCCTGATCGCATGCTCCTCGGGCGTCAATCCAGACCGATCCTGCCAGGGGCCCCATGCGGCACAAAGGGTTGGACAAAGGAGGGGATCAATGGTTGAACTCTTCAACAACCGCCGCTTCCATTGACAATGGGCAGCTTTCAATGCCGTCCTGTTCATGGGGTATATCACTATGCTTCTTCTAAGGGTATTGAGCCATCCCTATGTCAGAATCATGGCGGGCTTTCCGCACGGCTTCCCTCTCCATCCTCTCCTTCACACGCAGTGGATGGCCATTGTTGACCAAGACTTCACAGACCTCATGATTGCCGGCCCTGGCCGCGGCGTGGAGCAACTCATGGCGGTTCGGAGGCCAGCTGCATCCGCATGCCTTCTTGAGTAGTTGGCCCAGGAGTTCAAGGGTGTCGCTTGACATCAAAGATGGCACGAGGTGCGATAGGAGCTGGTTTGCATGCCTGGGCACGAATGGATGAGCAAAAAGAAAGCACGCTGAAACTTACCTTGGACTTAGACCATGAGGCTAGCGTTTCGGCTCATTCTATCACTTTCCGAACCCCCAGCCCCCTACCAGAGTGATTTCCCAAGTAACCCTTACCATCTTAGGATCTTTCACCACCCACACACGCCACGTTATTGAGAAGCAGAACCAGAACTAACGTTGCCCGAGCCACTGGGACCCGAGGGAGTCCACTTGCAGTGTGAGAGCGTCCAAAATCTGTTGTGGCCACGTCCCCCTGGAGCTGCACACGCGGAGCGCCGCTGCGGCCCAAGGGTCGAGACGCGTCCAGGCGCCGAAGGCCTCCGCGGTCTCGGCGCCTGAAAGGTGGCACGGGGCGAGTGTGCTGCAGGCCGCCTGCCAGACTAGCTCACAAGGATCCTCCAAGAGCCTTTCCAGCTTTGGACCGTATGGGCGAAGCATTGCGGGTGCCCAGAGGCCCATGATGGAACACGCGGCTGCTCGGACTTCGGGATCATCCCCATGGTCCAAGAGGCTGGGAACATCAACGAACTGTTCAGCGACGTCTGAACCAAGAGGGGGTACCTTCATTGATAAGGACTTGATGTGAGGGACCAACAAGTGTCCCGGCAGCTTGGCCATGAGGACACAAGCAATCCATTGCAGTGGCTCCACTTCCAAAAACTGTGCCACTAAGGCAATATGGGGGCCAACCATCTCTGAGGGCCACATGGTCATGATGGAACAGGCTGCCTCCCGCACCGCCAGTTGGCCATGCTGCAGCCAGCCGCTGATGCCATGAAACTCCTGGGCCAAGCTTGGAAAGCCATGAAGGGCATTGGAGATCTGCACTGCGTGCCTCACCATCACATCCTGTGGCAACCGAGCCACGGCTCTGCAAGCTGCCATCCTCACACCTTCATCATCATCTTGCATCAGTTGCTCTAGTTTTGGGGCACGTGCAGCGAGAGCACGTGGTGCAAGCGCACCTTGTGGCAGCTTGGCTGCCGCCAAGCATGCCTCCTGGCACACCTCATATTGCAAATCATCCAGCATTGACGCCAATCGGCCAGCATGTGGAAGAAGGGCGTTGGCTGGCAAGTGGCCCAAAGCAAAGCATGCGCTGGCTCGAACCGAGGAATTCCAATCCTGCAGGAGTCCAGTCAATAGCTTCTCATGGTTTGTGAGCACAGACCCTGGCATCTTCACAATGGCCCTGCAGGCAGCGGCACGCACAAGGTCCTGCTGGTGAGACAAAGCTTTCACCCATCCTGAATGGGACCATCTGTGTACGATGGAGATGGTCGCCCTCTGAACTTCTGGATCCTGCGCCTCGGCGAAGCTCACGATGTCCACAAATTCTTCAGCAACCTCTGAAGGCAAACGAAGCATGCTCTCGGATAGCCTTTGGAGGTGGGTGACCAAGAGGTTCTGCGGCAGCTTTGCCATGATGGTGCATGCAGCCTCTTCCAACTCCTCCACTTCCAAAAGCTTTCCCAACCTGCTGGCATGTGGAGCAATGGCCTCTGAAGATAGTTTGCTCAAAGCTTGGCAAGCGACCTTCCGCACTGAGCAGTCTTGATGCACCAGCAGGTCTGCCAGCACATCCACGTGAGATTCCAGTGATGCTGCAGGCAACCTGGCGAGGGCCGAGGAAGCCGCCTTCCGCACAAAACCACTCTCATCGGCCAAAAGATGCAGCAATGCTGGCAGAACATCGGCCACGGCGCTTGCAGGAAGCTTCGCTCGAAGAATCCACTCACATGCCGCGCTCCTCACGTAAGAATCCTCGTCTTCGAGGAAGGCCTTCACCGCGTCGACCGCGCCGGGCTCCGTTGCGCGGAGGCCTCGGCACCTCTGCACCCGCGCGGGCACACCGAGCATGGGGCCTCAGTCGCAAAAGCGAGCGACCGTCCCAACGACCTTTTTGAACTCAAAAGACGTACATTGTAGGTCTCACCAGACTTTTGCTCTGAAACTTGAGCACGGTATACATGGCCCTTGGTAGTGCCTGGTTTCTTGGCATAGTTCGTCTGCATGTCCGTCTGAACGTCTATGGTTCCACGCTGGAGGTGCCCGCAGCAGCGTGCCTGCAGACTTGCAGGTGGCAACCTCTTACAGTATATAAGTTCTATATAAGTTATATAAGTTGGTATGATATATGGTATGACATAATAGTCACTCAAACCAACCACAGCACACCAATCTCTAGAACCAATCCTACACGTTCCAAAAAACCTGAACATTGAGCTGCATGGTTGAGACACCGTCTTGGGAAGAGTGGGCCAACTACCCCGACAATCCCCAGAGCTTCCACTGAGCTCATGTTGTTGATTCTTTTCTGATGCTTCAGGAGCCTCTTAGATCCTCTTATACTATACCCGTCACCTGAAGATAGTCCAGCCTCGAGTCAAACCAGGAGGAGGACACCGAAGTGTCCCGCCCGTGTCCCACCGGCCCCGCTGGAGCCAAAGATGAAGCAGGAGAGTGCTTCCACCGCCGCACACTGCAGGTTGCCCCAGCACCACAAATGCTTAGGGTATTCAGCATGAACTGGCAAAAAGACCTACAGTATATATTTTTGTTTGGCTTTCAAGGAGTGGCGTCTCTTTCGCTCGGGCGGTATCGTCTTTTTCGCGCGGGCGACAGTGACCCTGGGCTGTCAGCACGACAGCCTGTATGTACACTTCCTCCAATACAATATGAACCCGCCTCCGCTGGCAAGCAACATTCCGCAACATGAAACAAGGCGTTAGCAGCGCCAGAACAAATGAAGTCTTTTTCACCTTCCACTCTACACTACACCTTCGGTTCTTTTTGTTGCCTCTCTCCCCGGTCGCTACCCGGGTCCTCACAGGAGCTCCGTCTCGGCCGCAATCTCCACCGAGCTGCCCGTGTCCTTCTCCCAGATCCGCAGCTTCCGCGCGGGAGCCGCCGCCGCGGCTGCCACGAGCTCCACGCGCTGCACGCCGCGGAAGTGCGACGGGATGGAGAGGAGGAAGCTGCAGAAGGACTTCCGTGTGGAGGAGGGCGCAGCATCCAGGTGCTCAAAGGTGGGTAAGTCGAAAATCCTGAAGACCACTGAAAGCGGCTGACGCAAGGATATGTTGTCACCCACCCAGCAACCCAAAATTACCATACGACACTTACACCACAATCACAACGCGGGGTGCGTCATCTCTGCAGATGGAAAAGGGGTTGATCCACAAGATTGTGACGTGAAGCATGAAAAGTTCAATCCCATGGGGAAGTTCTGGCAGCCTCACAGGTCTTGCTGATGCTGACCCTCCCTCCCTCTCTCTCCCTTTTGAATTGTCCGTTTTTGACCTCCGGACATGGGCGGGTCCTCCTCGTCAACTCAGAGGTTTTGGAACCCTTAAGGCAGGACCCTCGAAGATCCTATTTGTAGGATCTTGTTGGAAATGACAGGGGGCATAGACTCTGGACCGGCCAAAGAACTCCTCACGCTCACGTAGAAAAATCGTGTGAACCCCTCTCTCTTCTGGTGAGCCTTCTGTGGATCCACTCTCTTAGGGCTGGAAACCACTTCCCGGCACAAATCCCCGGCACGGATGTGAAGCGTCCTGGGATGCTTCGTCAGGATGGGAAAGGGCTGATGAAGTCCCGTGGTGCCAAACTCGAGCCCTCGCGCCCTTGGACGCTGGTCACCGTCAACCTCGGAGGAGCACCAAAGCGAGACCCAGGGGTACTCCGCGCGCGGCCACACATAGCCTCGGCAGGAAGTTCAGCTGAGAGTGTGAAGCAGGGGTGGTGCAGCAGGTCATGAAGTAGAGTACAGCAACCAGGAACTACTCATGATGTAGGAACTATGGCATGTGTGACTATGTGCTAGACACAGCACCGGTCAAGCACGCATTAGTTCACGGACACTACAGCAATTCACAGAAAATGGTGTGAAGAGGAAACTTGCTGTGGAAATCACAAGCTCCAAAAGCATGGTCGAAAAAAAACTTGTGCAAGTGTTCCATATGTTGTCTCTACGCACCCCTTTCTGAATATCATCAACTGCCCATTGCCAACCTTTGCTCCTTTCATGTCAAAAGAAGTGATCCTCACATGCCACCCAAGTCACCAAGCAAAAGTCCTTGACTCGGGGTAGAGGCGCAAACCTCGCAAACGCGATCTTTGGACGGTCTTCACTCTGTGTCTCTCCCTCTCCCTCCCTCCCTCTCTCTCTCTACAATTCTTTTAAACAACAATCTACATGTCAAGGATCTTTTGAACACAAAGCACCCCCTCTCTCGCCACCACTCGTGCACTTGGACCACCCTCCCTGCCAAGTCACCCAGCCATAGGTCTCCTTCGGATCCACTTCATAGCTGAAGACATCATCAGCACCTCCCGTCATCCCGTGCGCATCTCGCACGCCGTCACGGGCCGTCACGGCCGCCGGAAACTCCCGCGGAGCATGCCACAGGACCTCCGCGCAGCCGCGCGGCCCCTGCGTGAAGCCCCGCTTCCCATTGCAGTCCACGCGGGTCTCCGCAGAAAGAAAGGGCGCGGCGATGCTGGGATGTTGGACCATGTTGAAGATCCGCCCCAGCTGGTTGATGTTTTTCACCTGCGTCATTGTTCTGCAGTGCAGTTCAATTAACTAATCATGAATCATAGAATCATAACTATATATTTTATATAATGTGTGTGTGTGGCAACCCAGCAATGAAAAGTTTTCTTGCATGTCTCCCTCCATCTTCCACCCCCCGCCTCATCCTGCACCTTCAACACCGCCGCCAGCACCGCAGCGCCGCCCTGCGGCGCGTCGACGGCCCGTCGCGCCGCCTGGCATTTCACCAGTTCCAGGCGCCGTTCGACGGCCAGGCCAGCCATGGGCAGCTGGGCCTCCAAACGCACCACAGGCGAGTCCAACTCCACGACGTGCCAGTGCCGACTGGAGGCCTGAAGGGGTGAGCAATCCAAAGCCTTTGGAGGTGGGGAGGTTGGGTTTGCATTGAGGGGATCTTTTGATGGCTGATGGCCAGTGGCTGGGGCTCCTCCCATGTCCATCCAGGCCACAGCAAGATCAGCCAGAAAATTACGTTGAAGTTGCCACTCGCTCGAAGTGCCTGGCCTCCCCATGGTAGGGCATCCCCTGCGCCTCCTCCGCCACGGAGGGCGGACCCCAACGATCCAGGCATAAAAAATGCCCCAGCGGCCTGACGGCGCTTGAAGAAGGCGCGAGGGCTTGAAGAATCCATCGGCTCAGCCGACCAAACTTAGAAAGTTGGAGCCACTTAACTTAGAATCACCAGATGTTGCTAGATGTGTCACTAGATATGAATCTGAGCAGCCTCTCCCACCACATGATTAATGTCCAACAACTTGGTCACCTTCCACCCAGCCTGGGAGCCGTTTTCTCCACATCTTGCTGATCGTGCACGGCCGAGTCCCAGCTCAAGGGGTTCACCCCATCGCCCAGCACGAAGGACGCGATCGACCCGCCCGCGGCGTCGATCGCCACGGCCGCCGCGTCGTTCCGCAGGGTGATCCAGGGCCGCGTGGCGCGGCGCGGCTTCTTCGAGCCCTCCATGAGTGGCGAGAAAACGGCCTACCCGGCCTACCCTGGTAGTGATGTCATGCGCAGTGATGTCATGATGAGCGCAAGGGCCTAAGGTTTGCATTGCTTTGATGCTGCTGGGGCACCGTCCGGGGGCGCACCCAAAAACAAAAGTAAGACCTGCATTCCAAGACGAAAGTTGACCAAAATAATGACTCTAGACGCGACAGTTTCACTTCATTGAATGTTTCAAGTTTTATTGAGTCCTTTCACACAATGAGAAAAGAATAAGGGCCTAAAAATATATTTGTCTTATTCATGTTTAATCATTGGAACCCTCTTTTGCCTGAAGTCTCCATTTTCATAATTCTACCAGACCCCTTGTTGCTCTTCAAGTTGTCCCTGTGGCGCCAAACCCCTGCAGCCACGCACTGCAAAACATAACATCCTCAATAGGCTCAAAAAGACTGGACATGAGACGTGACATGACATGTCTACGTCAAAAAAGTATTGGGCAAAGGACGCGCGTCCATTTCCTCAAGCGATCTCCGGTTCAGCAAAGGCATTGGTTATAAGCGCATTGGCTTGCAGCATGCACGTGGTGCACTGCCACTGCCGCCCACTGATGGGTCACGCGGCCGCCAATGAAAACATGACATTCGGGCATCTCCGCTTCATCTCTGCAAACCTCCCCGTGCCCTATGATTCTGTTCGTTGTACATGAGTGTTGTTGGTTGTTGATGCAACCGTGTCAGCCCGCTACCGCCTGGCAAGGTGGAGCACTTGTAGATCACACCTGTCACCGGCAAGGTCAATTCTGCCCATCATCAATGTCAAAAGATGCGGCGGGCAATCACAGACAGCCTGATTGAAGGGTCGATTGGTATGATCAAGGTCCACTGATGCGATTTCCAGCTGGGCCCATGCAGCAGTTCATGCGCGGACCTCATTGTTCGCAAACCATGGTGGAATCATAGGATCCAGAATCGCTGCCTGGAACTACCCACCAAGCGCAAACCGCGTGAAACATTTTCTGGTTGGATTAAGACGGCCGCAGGTTGGACACCAAACATGAACAAAATTCACAACAAATTTTCCCCGTGTACAAGGTTGAATTTTGTGGGCGAATGTTGCCTGTCCAATAATCCAATCCAACCAGAAGATTGCCCTGTTCTGTTTGCAGCCGACTTGGGCTTCCTACTTTGCCACCTTCTTCTCGGTAGATCCTTCGCTTGAAGCGCCACTCAGTAGCCAAATTGCGTCAACATGCCTCACATGGCAAAGCGCTGCACCAAACACGGCTACGATCCAAGATTGGGCCGCAACAATTGCCGCAAAAGTTGTACAATAGTAATACATTTCATCTGATTGTTACCCACACCTTCATTCTCATGCCCACATGTATGGCCTGAGTACGCACCAGGTCCTGGCGTATCGCCCGCGTTCCTGCCAAGCCAAAAAGTGCAAGTTTCAGGCTTGCCAAGGCGCAAAAGCCTCTGAACACATGAACACCGGCCCTCTTTTAATGGAACAGTGTGGCTTTGCGAGACCTTTGGAACAGGTTCCACGGTTTGGAACAGCCACCGGCGAGCGGAAACGTATTCCGCGCACGGGAGTGAACCAGACTTTCCAACGTGGGCGCGGCCCCGATGTCGGAAACATTTGGGCGCAGCTCAACAATGCCGCCATATGTCAAGTAATTACATGCTTACAATGAGACCAGCATGGTTTGATCTTTAAGAAGAACATATGACTTGCGGACATCCCAACGGCGGCACCGTGGCAGGAACAAAAGTAGGAGAAAATCAGAGACGTGCTGGGGCACATGCAACGAGCCTGCTAGAGAACGAGGCTTTGGGAAACAGCGAGGCTGCACAGAAGCATAGCATCCCTGTTGGCATTGCAGGTGCGGGGAGTTTTCCTCCTGAACTGGAACCTGTCCAACTTGTGGTCCGAGGTTTTGCATGTTACTTGGTTCCATGGGGTGGGTATGCCGTGTATACCGATGAGAGGCGCAGCGGGCGGGGGCCCTTCACAAGTTGGAAGTTGAAATCAATTTCATTGTGACATGCCAATTTTGGTTAAGAAGCGTGTCTGCCTCGTAGGAGACAGTCATGACCATCCATGTACTTGTACAGCTTGACTGAACCGCAACCATACAGGCTCCATTTTGTGAGTGATAAAAGGCACGCATTCCGCCACATGGTACTACATCGTGGACGAGGAGGACGAGATCGAGTTGGCTGGGACTTTGGATCCTGTGCCTGCTGGCACTTGGCCACGTGAGCGGCCACGTGGTGCTGGCAGAAGTGCTGCAACATAGAGAACACAGAGCCCACCAGGGGGAGAGACACAAAGTCAGGCACTACCACGGCCTGGAGCTGTGTTTGGGTGAGAGATCACCCATTCGAATTCGAAGGAAGAAGGAGAAAAGCAGCAAACCAGAGATCCAATTCATTGAACAGTCCCAGATAGTGGAAGTCCAAGTACCAGAAGCTTGGAGGCTGCAAGCAATTCAAGATTTACAAGGCTGAGCCAGAACCTCGAAAGCGGTTCACGGTCTTCAGGAGGTGTGGATTGAAGTGGTTGATTGAAAAGAAAGGAAGTGAACAAATTGTTTGGTTGGAGGAAAAAGGCCACCTGACCTATATAGGACACTGGACAATGGCGGAACATGAACAGTCATTGCAGCAGCTGGTACAAGTCCAGCAAAACCAACAATGGAACAAGCGCATCTAAAACCCAGAAGTGTTCAAACCAACCACAAGAGAAGAAGAACTGCGCCAATGGCCTGACTGGCGATTTGGTTTCATGCAGTTTGTGAAGGCAGTAGGGCCCAAGACTGCCGAGTTCCTCGAGACGATCAACAAGCACCCCAATGGGAACTATGAGATGAGCGAGATGGACGAGGACACGCAGGCCCTGAGCGTGAACTTCTATGGAGTGCTGGTCTCCTACATGAAGAATAGGCCTTTTTTGTCACTCATTCGCCATTTGAGTGACTTCAATGGCTTCAAAGGATGGAGCTTGCTGGTGAAGGACATGGAACCGTCTACAACACAAAGAAGTCTTGCCTTTTTGACACAACTCAGAAAAGTGGAATTCTCCACAAACAGAACAATCACAGAGCAAATACCAGCATATGAAAGCCTCGTGCGAGAGTATGAGCTCATGTCAGGTAACTCATTCCCACAGGATAGAATGATAGGATCGATCTGGTTGGCTTTACCAATGGCCCTGAGAACACAATGGCAAATGCAAATCACAGAAGAAACGACGTATGAACAGCTCAAGAACAAGATCATGCACTACGAGAGCATCAGAACACGATGGGATTCGACGAACCCGCTGCAAATGCCAACCAGGACATCAAATGATGAAGCCGTGCCCATGGAAGTGGACATGGTGATGAAAGGTAAGAACGGCAAGGGGGAGATAAAAAATGATGGCAAGAGCAAACAGTTCTCCTTCAAGGCGAAAGGTAAGTCAGAGAAAGGAAAGTCCAAGAGGAAGGATAACTTGGAAAACCAGACATGACATCATGACAACACCTATGACAACTACAGAGTTGTTTGGCCTCACTGAAGGTCAGGAGGTCAAAGAATGCTTCGAGCACGGGGGCTGGATCTACATGGAGACCGCCCCTGGGGAGGAAGCACAAGGGAACCGGGTCGATTGGGCGACTGCTCCTGGAGAAGGAGGTCAAGGGAGCCGGGTCTGTATGGTGACTGCCCCGTGACGAAAGAACCCAAGAAGTTGAAGGAGAAGAGGCCTTTGTGGACTATGAGCCATCCGATGAGGAGGAACGGCGAATGGAGAGGGCATATGAAGAGAGTGAGGACACCGAGGATGTGTTCCACGAGTGTGAAGGTGACATTGAGATTTGGGTGCCACCAGAAGTGCCTGTGGCATCTTCAAGATGGAGACTTTCCGCAAAAAAATCTGGAAGAGTCACAAGGGAGGAAGATTGACATACCCTTGACTGTCGACACCTGCAGGAATATTATCCGAAAATAAAACCAATAGGTAGTTTAGTTAGTGGAATAATTACAACATGCTTATATTCAACAAGCATTCCAGTTATTGATTAAAGTTAAACTGAAGGACACAGCCAATCCTACAGTTTAATGATACCCCCGACCCAGGCACAGCGCGCCTTTTCCGCAAGACTTGAGCCAAAATGCAAGGTGACATCAAAATGATGTGCGGCGACCACCAGGGAGGTTGTTTCATGTGTGTATTTTCAACTCCCCCCTCAAGCTGTACATGGTACAGGCCCCGACAGAAGTGCGCTTTCAGCACACTTGATTCCCGGTGTCTATGCAAGGACGGCACACACAACACACGATTTCACCTCAGTTGCAAGCTCATGGTTCACAAACGCATAACTGACGGAGTGCTTCCGGCCAAAACATGGGTGGCATCACCTTTGTAAGTGAGTTCGCAAGCTGAGATTCCGAGGTACAGTTAGTTAATGCTGAACTCTTCTTTGTCGAGCAATTCCTTTACGGATGCGAGACTCACTCGGTGGACTCGGTTTGCTCCACGGAGCTTCACACTGTAGCCGCTGTAGCCAGCCTTGACAACCGTGATTGTTGCTTGGTTGTTCTGCTCGAAAATAATGTCAACATTTGACTCTACCAAGGTCTCAAGCATCAGATGCAGGTGCAAAGTTTCTCCGAACAATGCTCCTGCCAATGCTATCAGCTCGGCTTCTGTGGTGCTTCTTGCAGTTGAACTTTGTTTCTTGCTCTGCCATATGACAGGAAAGCATCCTTGGCCTGCGCGGACGACATAAACAATGCCTGACGTGGATTTCGCAGTGTAAGGGCAAGACGAAAAGTCTGAATCAGTGTATACGTGCATCGAAGGCAGCGCCGCAAGTTCGGCAGTAAGCTTCATCACATGGTCGCATGTGGAATGAAGATAACTGATCAAACGATAGGTCTGACGGTCTTCCCACTGCGTCCAGCGAGTCACACGGCTTGCCAGGCGTTGAACTGCGAATGCAATGTCTGGTCGCGCACGGCGACTTAGCCAGAGGCATCGCATCAATATTCTCGATGCGTATGTCGAAAGCTCCCCAACTTGACCCGATTCTTCAGCGGACATGTTGGATTCTGGGATGCAAGGTGTCGACGCGCGACGAAGCTTGTCTTTTGAAACACC